AATTGCCTGAGCTAGGACTTCCAACACAATATTGAACAAGAGGGGTGAGAGTGGGCAGGCTTGTCTTGTTCCAGTTTTCAGGGGAAATGTTTTTAGTTTCTGTCCATTTAGCAATATGTTAGCTGTTGGTTTGTCACAGATGGTGCTTACTATTTTGAGGTATGCTCCCTCTATATCTAGGTGTTTAAGAGTTTTTTTTTTTTAATCAAGAATGGATGGAACAGCCTCTATGTCATCTGATGACTCTACTTGGGAGATATAACAAAAAATCTGGACACTGGGTCTCCTCAGGTAAATGTTTGTTCATGTATTTCCAAGACAAGCCATACTGATATCATGGAATGCCGGGAGGGTCTTAGTGGCTTAAAAAAAATTGCCTTATTGGAGTATAGCCAACATTCAATAAGTCACACATCTAAGGTACACAAACTGATAAGTTTGTTGACATATGTATATGCCAGTGAAACCATCACCACGATCAAGATAGCAAACATATCCACCATCTCCCCAAATTTCCTTGTGCCCCTTTCTAATTGATTCCTCTTTCCTCACCCAGCAACAGACTCAGTAACCACTGATTTGTTATCACTATGGATTAGTTTGCATTTGCTAGAATTTTATATAAATGGAATCATAAAATATGAACTCTTTTTAAAAAATCTGGCTTCCTCCACTCAGCAAGCATTTTGAGATTTCATCTGTGTGTATATCAATAGTTTGTTCCTTTTATTGATGAGCAGTATTTCATTCTCCAGACATGCTGCTATTTGTTTATCCATTTGGTTGTAGTCGGACAGTTGGATTGTTTCCAGTTTGAGGTTATATACATAAAACTGTCAAGAGCATCTGTGTACTACTGAGTCTTTGTAAGGATATATATCTTCATTTCTCTTGGGTAAAACTAAGGAAGGGAATGGCCAGACAGGCAGAAGCTTAATGTTTTATGACACTGACAGAATTTTCCAAAAATGGTTGTGTCACTTACATTCCCACCAGGAGTGCGTGGAAGTTCCAATTGCTCAACACCATTTTTGAAGCTAGAAAAACTAAGATCCCAGCACAAAGGATCTTACTACGCCAAAGACAAATTCTAGTCACCATCATTTAAAAAAAGAAAATGATGGTGACTAGAATTTGTCTTTGGCGTAGTAAGATCCTTTGTGCTGGGAAGGACCCCTGAGTGGCTTCTTCCAGTTATAACTGTTGCCTGTTTGCCCTGAGGCCAGATCATAGCCCTGTTGCAACCCTGAAAGAGTAGAGGCAGCCACAGGCCTCAGTGAGAGATGAAGGTGCCGGAGAAGAAGTCTGTATCATGGCCTCAACAAAACTGAAATCATTGGCTTAAGTCATTTTGTTCCTCTCCTAATTCCTCTCTGAAGGAAAGCTGGTTCATATATCCTCTTCATTTCTCTCCACTGTACTGCCCACTCTCATGTCCCCAAACCTCTCTGCTTTCCTGGATGATTCACTCCTTGCTCTAAATCTTATTGCGTCTTCAGCACAAAAGCAAATCTCTCAGTCAGCCTGAGTTTCCTCTCCCTGGACCAGTGGTTCTCAGAGGGGCCCGGGCCAGCAGGAGCAGCATCCCCTGGGAAATTGTTAGAAATGCACATTTGGAGATCCCATCACAGACCTCCTGATCAGAAACTCTGGGGTGGGGCCCAGCACAAGGGTTTTGATGTGTGTAGAAGTTTTAGACTCACTGCCATAGACTATAGTTTGGAGTCATTTATTGCTAATCAAACATGTCATTTGGTGATCTCATCCATCCTCCTAATGGGCTTTTCAAATATTTCATCTAACTCAAATGGGAGTCTTTGATTATGGGGTGACATATGGAGAGTTCTCATGTTTGAAAAATATGATTTTCTCCATCTAATTTGGTCAATTATATATCGACTAAAATTTCAGTTTTTTTTTTTTGAGACGGGGGTCTCACTTGTCACCCAGGATGGAATGCAGTGGCAAGATCACAGTTCACTACAGCCTTGAACTCCTGGGCTCAAGTGATCCTCCCACCTTGACCTTTTGAAGTGTTGCGATTACAGTTATGAACCACCACACTATGCCTTCATCCACTGTTCTTAAGGAGGAAATTAAGAGCCCTTTTGATTGACCAATGACTTGGTCTTGATGTGTCCCTACGTGCACCCATCAGTCTTAGCTAGGAAGGAAGGCAACTTCTGTGGAGGAGGGACAGGGACCCACTGCTTGTCTCCAAGGTTCAGTGCCATGAACATAACCCTGATATTAGCCGGGAGGTGAGCAGCGTGGCTGGTGCTCTGGAGTGCAGCGGGAGCAGATGGCCTAATGAGGTCTTCAGCAAGTACCAGTGATAAACCTCTGGGTCTCTTCAGTGCAAGCAAGATGCTGGGCCAGCAGAAGGAGGCAGCCGGCACAGGCCCCCTGACTGCAGGACTCAGCATGAGCCATGGCTATCCCACAACAGCAAGGCTGTGGTGGCTTTGAAGCCTCAAGGTCAGGGGTGAGACTATCAAGAGACCAGTGAGTATGGAGTCTGGCTCTGATCACCAGAGACAGGAGGAGGTTTTAGGATCAAGGATGCACCACCTTTACAGATCTGGGGTGGTGTGTGGGAGTCCCAGGGGAGGTAGCCCTATGAGACGAGGTGACCTTCTGTTGACATGGCAAGTAGGAGACTGTGGTCTACTGATTCTACTGTAGAAAGGAAGTGGGACAACGTTTTTTAGTTACGGGCTGGTGAGGTCTGAGGTATGTGTTGTACTTAAAAGGACAAACACTCATTTTGTTAGGCATTTCTAACCATAATTGCACATTTAATGTTGTTAAATTTCCTAAGATTCCCTGCTCTTGATGATAAAGTAGAAGGAAATACTGGAGACCGGGGGTGGGGGGCTCACAGTTTGGGGGGATCTGGGAGCCTTGGGGTGTAGCAAGTAGCTAAGAGAACATCAAGAATTTTCACAGAACAAGTCACCTGACCTCTTTTTTCCCCATTGCCTTTGGCTACCAGTTATTCTAATCGCCTGTGAAATTATGTCTCTAAAAATTACTTCCATATAAATGGGCTGCTTCTAATTTAGAATGAAGTCAAATTCATTTTAAAAGCAATTTATTAATTATTTAAAAATACATTTATTTAATGTATTTTCCCCTCAATTTTTGGAAGTTTGGCATACTGGGCAAAAGCGCAGGCACTGGAGCAAATGTTGCCAGGGTTTGTATCTCAGTCCTGCCACTTCCGAGTTGTGTGATCTTAGACACATTCCTGAGCCTCAGTTTCCATCTCAGAGAAACGAAACTCTGCCCACGCTCTGGACAAGTAGTGAGAGGTGGAGGAGCTCCCATTCGTAAAGAGCCCAGCACAGGGCCTGAGACAAAGTCAATGCAGAGTAAACGTTCACTTACCCCCTCCCTTTTCTTCCTGTATCTTATTTTATATAAAAATGTGTAAAAGATTTACACAAAACAATGCAAAGAGACAAAAGTCAACGTTTATGTGTCTTTCCTTGGACGGACGCTAGTTTACAATTGGGAAGAGTGCTCATGTTCTTCCCTTGATGGACCCTGTGCAGACTCCTCACTGGGTTGAAGAGGGGTGTTGTGACGCAGATGGAACAGGTGGCAGAGGTATTTCCCAAATGCCGTGTCCAGAAACACACAGAGGAGAGGGTTGACACAGCAGTGAGTGGTGGCGATGATTTTCGTTATTTGCACACTTTTGTCCAGGTTGTAGCTGCTCTTGCAGTCATGCAGGGAGAAGTGTTCTCGGAAAGTGGACAGGAAAAGTGCAACATTGTAGGGTGCCCACATCAGAAGGAAGACAACCATGATGGCAAAAACAAGCTTGGAAAGGCCATACCTCCTCTCCCTGAAACTTAGTGTTTTTCTCATGCATATGCAGCAAAATACAAAAACAAACAGTGGGACAACAAGAACCAAAATGTTCATCTTTAGAGTCAGAAAATGCTTCCACAGTGTCTCATCGGCTGGCAGGAAGGGAGGTGTGTTAAAGACACACTGGTATTTCTGACCTTCTGTCTGAAGTTTATGTAACACGAGTTCAGGTAAAGTGGCCAGAATGACTATTACCCACGCTAGGACACTCATAAGGATGCTGCGGGACACCGTCCTGGTGGCCGAGGAACAGTCTCTCATGTGGAAAAACACCGGGTGTTTTTGCACAGTAAGGAGGACACTGAACAGCACCTCACCATATAGGCCTATGGAGCAGAGTTCACTGAGAATCGCACACATGGGCTCGCCAAGACTGCCTCCATGTGAAGCACTGTGAGTCCAGAATGGCAGGGTAAGCAAGAAACAGAAGTTAAAAAGTGTCAAATTTAGAGAGTAGATATTTTCCAGGTGTTTGAGTCCTTTATATTTAACCAGGATAAGCACCACCAGGATATTGTCCAGAAGACCAACCACGAAGATGGTCGAGTAGAGCTGTGGCACCAGCTGGGCTGAGAGGACCTGGGCGTCATACCTGTCACACAGCTCTGTCTTGTCATCCTTCAGATCGTCCTCTATGAGGACATCATACTCATCCTCTGGTGGCAGCGTGTAATTAGCCATCTTCAGACTTCCCTGTGGAGAAATGGGGGATTATTTTTCTCTTCCTATAGCTGTGCTATCCTGGAGGAAACAACAAACTGGACTAGTCCCCATATAGCCCTGCTTTTGTTTTTCTGGCACTTAAAATAAACTATGCCTTCGACACATGCCAACGTCCCCAGAGCAGCCAACACCTCCATCTAGTCCTTAAGCACATAGGTGCGCGGTAGCATGCTAGGTGCCTCAGGAAATAAAGCAGGCATGACACCAGCTTCATAGAATCTACATTCCTCTGATAGAAGCAAGACTTGCCTCATTGAAAACCGTATGTAAGAAAACACACAACAGAGAAGAACCAAGTACCGTAGCTTAATTTCAAGAAGTTGGTGTAGATCCTAGTTCATAATCTCTACATGTCTAAAAAGTTTGCTCACACCCTGAAGCAGATTCCTGTGACAGGCTGAGATATTTTTCTCCCGAAGGATGTAAACAAATGTTTGCAAAAGTGAAACCATGAGAAGCACCAACACGAACGTAACTGGTTAAATGCATAGATGACTTACCGCTGGATGGAGCTCCTGCAGGGGAGGGCACAGCTTCCCTACCCAGCATCCACAGAGCTGTGGGAATGGCTGGGGGCAGTGGACTGCTTCCTTTTGAGCAGACTGCTCCTGACCCCGAGGGGCACGAGAATCTGCTGTTTATTTCCCTGGTGACTCTCCCTGCCTCGCCACCCCCCAGTCACAGATCTCAGGGACAAACTGAAATAAAAAAAAAAATTCAAAAGTTTCCCCGGACCTCCAGAGGATCTCTTAAGCGTCTGAGAGAAACCAGGAAGTTGTTTTCTCCTCCCCTCCTTGCCCCTGTACCCCGCCTTTGATTTCCCTGTGGCCTTTAGACAACTGTCCTCTGGCTGCCTCAGATAAGGGAACTAAGTTACTGCTGCTCCGAGTGATATTAAGGGAGTGATGTCAAGGTCCTGAGACATGGTTAGACCCCTCTGGCTTCTGACATGTGACACTCTGAATAAGTGACAGCTACCAACTACCAGCAGAGGAAGAGAATGTTCGTGGAAACCACGGGTCCAGACTTGAGGGTCCTGAACCTCGATTGTGACCTCTCATCTGCATTCACAGAAATCCACTTCCTCACTTAGTACAGAGATCTGGAACCTGCCGTGAGAACCCAGTGAGCTGTGTGTGTTGGTGTCTTCACTGTCGAATTGGAGTGGTGCTGTGTGCTTTGACTGAGCGATGGGATCCCAAAAGAGAATTTCCAGAAAGTGGAAGTCCCAGGGTGAAGTCAGTTGGGAAACCCGAGTGGCAGTGAGTGTAGGGCTGTCCTGGGCATTGGTATTGAGAAAAGCAAGGAGTTTTACAAGTAGTAGGAAGTGATTAGTGCTGGGACACTGCAGAGAACTGATCCTACTCTACAAAGGAGAACTTTGGGAGGAAAATCCCATGGTGAGGACATGGAGGTAGCATCAAGTGGGTTGGGAGAGAATGTGAGGAGGACAGGTCTAACCTCCAAACTAAGGCTGGGTGTGGGGTCAGATCTGAGGCCAGAGAGAAAGGAAACTGAGAGAATAGCCCAGATTTGGAACGATGGGAGGAGAATTTGGGGAGAGCGTGGGAGGTGGAGAGTGCCGTTGGAAGAAGGATGAACTGAGAAGAGGAACTTGAAAGAACCGAAAAATTCTGGAAGTCTCAGGTCAATGACTCTTTGTAGCTGTGATTGACCTAATTTGGGGACCAGTCCTGTCTATTTACTTAGAACTTATATCTCTGGTCATGCCAAAAATGTGTTTGACATAGCATTCAATACAAAGTGTGTACCTGTCAAAATAGAAATAGAAAATGAAGAAACTAACTGGGCATGGTGGCACACGCCTGTAATCCTAGCTACTTGGGAGGGTCAGGCAGGAGGATCACTTGAGGCCAGGAGTTCGAGGCTGTAGTGAGCTGTGATTGTGCTGCTGCACTCCAGCTTGGGTGACAGAGTGAGATCTCATCTCTAAAATAAAGAAAATAAATGAAATGAAACCACTAAGAGAAAAATAAACATAAAAAGAGCCCAGACAAATATGTGGTTGAGCATCAAATTTAATTCCAAGCATACCAACAGCCAAGGCAGAAAGAGAAACACAGTGAGGTTCCAGAGCAGAAGGGTTGGTATGAGTGGGAACCTGAGCTGTGATTTGATTGTCCTCACCTCTCCTGGGCTCCTGTGAGTGAGTGAGTGTCACCATGCCCTGGGAAACTCTTCCTGTTCAGTGGTGGTGGCTGCAGCCTGAGTTCAGTGGTGGTCCTTCCTTCCTGGGGTCTCTCTACCTCCTGCAACCATGCCAGGACACCCAGAACCTTAAGTGAGTAGGTGCTGGTGACTTGGGATGCTTTATTCCCGATGCTCATGGTTATTCCCAGACAAGGGAAAGAGAGTTTAGTGAAGCACTGAAACTTGAAAAACCCCATAAATACACACATTCCTTACTAGATGGTTAAGTGGAAGAAAAAGGCAGCTGGCGGTCACCTCACATGCTACTTGTCATAGAATCATGTGAAATGAGAAGTTTCCCAAAGAAAAGCACTGTTTTGTAAATTCAGAATTGCCCTAACTTTCTAATATTGGCCCAGCCTTCACTTTCAGTATTATTTTATTTTGGCTTGAGTCCCAGCACTCTGCCTAACCACACCCAGGCCATGGGATTCTTGAAACTTCTTCCACACTGGTAGAAAGGAATAGTGTGGAAGTCTGAAGTTGAGGCGAAAGAGAAGTTCTATTTGCCATTTCTTTTTTTCTTTTTTTTTTTTTTTTTGAGTTGGAGTCTCACTCTGTTGCCCAGACTGGATGCAGTGGCCACTCCCGGCCACTGCAGCCTCGACCTGCTGGGCTCCGGCGATCCTTCCGCCTCAGCCTTCCAAGTAGCTGGAACTACAGGTGCGCACTACCACGCTCGGCTAAGTTTTGATTTATTGTAGAGATGAGGTCTCGTCAAGTTACCAGGAGGGTCTCGAACCCGCGGGCTCAGGCAATCCACTCACCTCAGCCTCCCAAAGGCGTGGGATTACAGGTTGAGCCACCGAGCCCAGCTTATTTGCCATTTCAATATCTGAAACCATATTAGGGCTATCCCTGTTGGTGAAACCACCTTACCTTCTGTGGTTTCGATATGTGCTCCACAAGCCTTACCTTTGAGGGTGTGAGTTTCTCTTCATCACGGTCATTCAACCCTCATTTCAGTTTAAGAAACTATCACTTATACTCTCATGTTCCCCTGTATGTAGATAGCTCATTTATTCAATTTATTTATTAAACAAAAAATATTTAGAGAATTCCCAACATGTGCCCAAGCCCTCCCATGTCATGTGGAAGGTGCTGGGGAAATACCAATGAACAAAACAGGCAAAAACTCTCACCTTTCTGGAGCTCACATTCAACAGACAAAAACAAAATGAGTCAGCAAGTTGCAGGTTAGTATGAGAGAAGGGCTATGGAGGAAAGCAAAGCAGGGAAGGAGAATGAGAATGGCAGGAAGGTTTGGGGGTTCACATTTAAAATAGCATAGTCAGAGAAATCCTTGCCGAGAAAATGGGCACTGAAACAGCAAAGGATTAGGTCCAATAAGTCATGCTCATTATCTCTTTCTTGTTACTAAGTTCTTACATCAGGGATGTTGGGAACGCATGCTGGGTGATAATCTTAGCAATAATTTTACAGAAGCTGCAGAAATATTCTGAGTTCGCACAAGATTGGGCGCGTTTAGGCTGCTATGGCGCCTGACAAATATTCTTCCGTAATACATTGACCCTCAATAAAAAAACGAGGAACACCACGCACCAGTTATCCTCGTATTGCCTCTCAGTGCCTAATCCACTCTTCTTTGTCCTGTTGTGATTCTGGAGTTGGACCCTGTACTCATCTCTTGTCTGTTGGTGTAAAAGGCATGGGAGGGTGACAGTAAGAGGCAGGGTCTTTTCCTTCTGGTTCTAGGATTTGTTTTTATTTTGTTTTCGCTGGTTGAGCTGACTTGCCAGTGCTTTGTGGAGACCCACTGCCCTCCAGTGAATTTTGCTGATACCATGATAGGTGGCTTCCTGTTATGTTTTGCTGGCACCCAAGCAGGGAGCTTCCTGGTGGGTTTTGCTGGCACCCTGAGAGTGGTTTTCTTGACAGAGGTGTGCTGGAAACCTAGGGTGCTCACTTTCCTGAGAATCTCACCAGTACCCTTTTCTGGCAGTTTCCTGCTCACTGACCCCAACCTGTGGCACCTCAGCAAACATCTTGACCATTTGTGGGTCGCAGTCACACCCTCTCTAATGAGGGCTGAATTAGCCTGGGGCGGGAGGGCATCTTCCAGGTTGGCTCCTTTCTGCCTAGGGGTGGTGTCTACTCCCTATACCTCCATTCTATGTTCTTTATTCCCTTTAGTAGCTCATCCTCTTTTATTAGTTAATGAGTCTTTATATTTAGTGTTCATTGCTCAAATGACTGGTATGGTTTCTTTCTCTTGACCAGATGCTGACTGGTACACACAACATTAAATTTAGTTCAGTGAGTGGAGAATGCTAGGTTGATTTTTAGAGAATGTTAGGACAATGAACTTTTTTAGAAATCCATCTTGAAAAATGGGTATTAGGGAAAAAAAAAGGAAAATGGGTATCAGAATGTTTAGAATTATGGTAATTTAATCTATCTCTTACAATGACCTCTTCCAATATCAGTTCTCTCAGATGATCAATCAATCCATTTATCTATTCAATTTTATTAACAAATATTACAACATTATGAAAAATTTGTATAGAAAACTATGCTAGTGATATTCTGAAATAACAGCTATTGTAAATTTTAAATAGAACTGCTTCTTAATGAGAAATATGCAAAAACTACTTTTACAATGCAGCCAATTTTCTGCTGGATTAATTGTTTGGCACTGAGTAGTAGATTGAAGAGGCAAATACTCACATATTGTAATTTTAAGGATTCTGACCATCTCATCCTGCCCGCAAGTTTTCTTCCACATACTGGGT